ACTATTTTACTATTGAATCACCATTTGACTATTGTTTCATTATACCTTGAGTGGATCACCATTTTTTTACTATTGCATTACCATTTTATTAACAGATGAACATTTTAATGAATTACTGTTTTTATTGTGTTTCAATTTTACTATTGCATTACTAATGAACTATTACTATTTTATTATTGTTTTACTATACCACTACTGGGTCACCGTTTTACTCAATATTTTAATAGTTAATCATCATTTTTCTCAATTACAGTTTTAATATCAGAACATCTTATCTATGCTAAATTACTGTTTCAATACTGAATTATACTAATTTCTCCCTAATTCGCGCTCAGATCGCGCACAAAAATGAACAATTTGGGAAAATCAGATACGATTATTCGAGGCTTGCGTCTCATTTTTATAATTGTTGACAATCGCTAACTATAAAAACGAGCTGTATCGAACTACCGTAAACGAACTGTATCATTTGAAAATGCACGACTAATTTCCTATTATATTCCTATCCTATCACTATTTTTCTATCAAATCGCAATTCCTCAACTATATCATTCTGAGATTACCATTTCACCTATCAAAGGAAATTTCGCAGTCTACACAAAACAACAACAAAACCTCCAAGACGAGACGCTGACTACATAATTGCCCGCTAAACGGGAAATAGTCTGGCCGATCGCGAGATCATCGAATCACGCTCTTCGATTTCGAAACCGAAAAGCTTGTTATGCCTTCTGATGATTCTTCTCGTTTTTTCGGGTGTCCCTATGACGACATGGAGTCTTCGAAGACCTTGGCAATGTTGCGAGGTCGACCTTCGGCAGCCTCGAATGCTGGTACGACTTCAGGAGACCCTTCGAAAGTGCCGAGTTTATGACACGTCACAGCTGTTGAGAAAGATGAAACGGAAGATTGGACATCCAATTGGTCGCCAAATGTTAAAAAGGTCTTAATCTCAAAAGTAGCCTTTTGTCCGTGTCATAAACTCTGTCCACGAAGACTCCACGTGTTTTGCTCCTGTGCGAATAGTCGCCAACCTAAATGCCGAAAACCGGAGTGCGACAATTTCCAGCCTTGTCTAGTTTCTGACCTTGAGGGCACTCTCCAGAATCAGCGCCAATTACCGAACCTAAATTTCGAATCTCTAACGTTGACTCCATCGTCTCCGGACTTAGAGATGCTTCTGTCTGATAGTACAGCTTTTAATCATCGGCGACAGGCTTCGGAAGAACACTCCGCGCTATCATCAACGCGATGACTATTGCGAAGAAGACTGATACGCGTCAAGAAAACGTGTTCTTTTTCCACTAACGATCGACGGAACTGATCTTCTCGAGGAACGTGGTCCTCCTTAACACTTTATCGACCGCTAGCCTATTTATCGGCTTTTCGATTGCCAATGTTTATCGATCGGTAGCCTATTAATCGGCTTTTCGATTGCCAATGCTTATCGACCGATAGCCTATTAATCGACTTTTAGCTATCGACGGTTTTCGCTTCTTTACTGTTTTGTTAGTAGCTGACCTCCTGTATGCTGACCTCCCCATATCCTTATGAATTATAATTATAATAATTATTATTATTTATTATTATTTTTAAAGGAATAAGCACAACACAATGAATAGCGAAAATTTAGCCGGTACTGGGAGCAAATGCGCGCGCGACTAAGCCAGTCCTTACTGAGTGGCAGCCTCAACCACGACCGGACGATAAAGTGTTAAATAGCTTTCTCTGATGATGTCACTGTACCCTTTCCATCGCTCACCATCGCCGACGATTATGCGTGTTACCAAATGGAATCTCCGCGATGGGAGATTACTCAACTGATTCACAACGTTGCGTTCAAAGTGCGACAAAAAAGGGACGACGCGTCGCAAATTAATTTTTTCAGCGCCGTTTTATAGGGGAAACTTGCCTCTATAGTGTCGCATTAAATTAAAGGCCGTTAAAAAATTTTAAACTCCGTCAAAATCATTTCAATCTGCAAAGCGAAAAATAGCAATGTTATCGCTACATTTTGTTTGCCACTTTGCATACGAAGTGTGATAGAACGGCAAGAAAATAATCGCAGATCAACTTTCGAGACGCTATTTCACGTGGTAAAAGTCGCCCTATAACGTCGCGTTAAATGAAAAATCGAATGAAAATTTTTGAAACCCTATACAGTCGTTTGAATTTATAAAATAATAATGAAATGTCAACGAAATAGCATCTTCGATTTCCGACTCCGTTGTGCAAGAAAAAATTTTTTCAATATGCAAACTCCGAAATCGTCAAAGTAGACGTTTCAGACTTTAAAATGAGCTTAGGTAGAACGTTGTGTGATTTTTTTCCGCGTAGTTACAGAAGTTCAAATTTCGTCAACTCGTCGGTGATAATTAAGCGGAGCCTTAATCATCAAGTTAGGAACGATTGCTTCTGTTAATTACGTCAACGCCCACAGCGATTTGTAATTAAGATTCGTAACTGTCTAGTATGTCTCGCACACATTAGTAGTCCCATCGGTATTTCGAAGGACCAGCTAAAAACACAGCGAGCGTAGTAACAGTTCGTTTATTTCCGTTCCGAAACTGGCAATCAACGCGAGATTAATGCCGGATCCGAAGGATTCGATCTTGATAGAAGTGTTTACCCGATGCCGGTGTTTAAAGTTCTATTTTACCACGGCCCGGTATTCCCACCAGCCGTGATTGTCCAATGACAGACGTCCGTTTTACGAGCGCGATAAAATTTCGAAACGATAAGCCGACAATCTCCGATTCCCATTGTCAAGAGCGTCAGTCTACAGCGGCGATCGGACGACGACGGTTGTGAAACCGGCTCTCACTCGACCAAACATCGTCAAGGTAAGCTACATTTAACCGCAATTAAACAGCGAATCCTCGTAACGTATTTCATTTTCGTTCAGAACAGGAATTGAAAAGATTTTATTTCAATAAATATGTTTGTTGTTTCAAGATGTGTCGAAGTTTGAAACGGTTTGACAAGGAAACTGACACACGTTCGAATTTGTTGCAAATTTTGTATTGATGTAATATGTGGTCAAGAAAATTGCCACATGCTCGAGTTTGTTGCAAGTTTATTTCGATTTAATTTTGTGGAGAATGAAAATGCTACATCTTCGACTTCGCTGCAATTTTATCTTGACACAATTTATGGAATAAAAAATGCTAAATGCTCAAATTTGTTGTCAATTAACTTGGTTGTAATTTGCGGGGATGTAAAATGTCACCTTTTCCAGATTGTTGCTACTTTAGTTGCTACTTTAGTAGTTGATGTTCCTTGTGAAGAAGAAATTTGCTACGTGTTCGCTGTTTGTTACGATCTAATTTCGGTAAAATTTGTGGTGAAAAAGAAAACTGCATTGTCAGTGTTTGTTGCAATTTTATTTCGATGTAGCCAAGAATAGTGCTACATGTTCGAGTTTGTTGGAATTTTATTTCGATGTAGTTTGTGGAGAACAAAAATGCTACATCTTCGAGATTCCTGCAATTTTATTTTGATATAAATTCCTGGAAAGAAAAATGTTACGTGTTCCAGATTTGCTGCAATTTTACTTTGATGTACTCTGTGATTAAGAAATATGTTACATGTTCGAGTTTGTTGCAATTTGATTCTGATGAAATTTGTCGAGACGAAAACTGCTGCTTGTTCGAGTATGTTGCAATATTTAGAATATGATATACATTCGAGCATGTTGGAGTTTTATCTTCCTATGATTTGTAGGAAATGGAAACTATAAAATTGTTTCTTAATATTTTACTTTGTTGCAATTTATAGGAAACGGAAAATTGAAAAATTGACCCGAAATCCGTGACCTCTCCTTGTCGGTGGTCCATAATTTATAAACGAGTAAAATGTAACCAAAGTGATGGCATACCCCCCCCCCCCCCATCCCNTTTGTAGGAAATGGAAACTATAAAATTGTTTCTTAATATTTTACTTTGTTGCAATTTATAGGAAACGGAAAATTGAAAAATTGACCCGAAATCCGTGACCTCTCCTTGTCGGTGGTCCATAATTTATAAACGAGTAAAATGTAACCAAAGTGATGGCATACCCCCCCCCCCCCCAATTCCGTGCGTATTACAGCCAAAGGTAGAAAAAGCAATATAACTGTACCCAATAACCAGTTCCAAAACGCAAATTCAGAAATAAAATCTGCATTTATAAAATATGCAAGAATCCGACGTTTCCAGATTCTTAATGGATCAAGATTAAAATGTGTATCGTAGCTGAGAGTGAAAAAAAGCAAATCAACTGTACCCAAAAGCCAGCATCCAACACAAATCAAGCAAATAAAATTCCAAAAACCAGTATCTACTAGACAACGCGCAAATAAAATCTGCAAATTAAAAATTATATAAATTATAAATTATAAAATATGAAAAATTCAAATATTAAAAAATCCACGATTCTTGAAAATATATAAAACATGTAAAATAATACCTTCGATCTACCGTAAACCTGCAATGATTATGTCATTTAAAATGATGGACCAAGTCTCTGAATTTAATTTCAAGGAGCGATATTATTTTATTATTTCCTATTAACAACGTAATTTTCTTTTTCCAGAAAAGCGATTAGTAATTAGAAAGAGGATCGATGATGGCGGAAAAGCAGAAGATAACTGAAGAGATTAAACAAGCAGACGCGCAGGAAGTATCCACACTTGAGCCTCCTCAGATAACATTGAGAAGCATCATCGGTGCCGGTGCACCCTGCAATGATGATGTGAAATATATAGACGGCGTCACGCACAGAAAGGACAAGGCTGGAAACTGGCGGCCGGTGATTAGTATAGACGTAAATGACACTTAATTCTGCTGCTATTACGTACTCTTAATTTTACTGTTCTACGAAGCGAATCGGTCGCTGGTCATTATATCCGATGCGAGGAAATAATTAATTCTTTGCACAAAATGTAATCGAAATAAATGCTTCATGGACTACTCGATGGTGTTATCGTTTTAATCAGAACCTGATACAATGCTTCACGATGGAATTAATTTGTTCGACATAATTTCATATTGTTCTTAGAAAAGTTATTATGAAAATAATTATAAAGTTACATTTGATTGTTGGGAAAGATTGTTGCAGATCGAAATGTTGAAGTGTTTGAATATTAGAACGTATTAGAATATTAATATATTGAACGATTACTTTGTTGAAATATTGCAGTATGCAGCTATTGAAAACATTGAAATATTGAAATATTCATCGTCAGCAGATTTTAGCATTAATGA